AAAAAAAAAAAGGTCGCAAAAGAAAATAAGGTGAACCCTGTTACAAATCAAGGAAGCATAATAATAGATGTATCCGGATGAGGGTTACTACTAACTGTATAATTTCGTATTGGCATAATTTGGTTAGAATGGATTTTTATTAAACGATTTCTCTCGAAACCTAATAGAGTACATCTTAAATACGATAAATCGTATCAATTGCCGTATACTCGTTGCTCTTTTATAGCCAAGATTATCTTTTTTTATGTTAATTTTTTTAATTTATATCTCCCTTTATAAAGGTTCTGGGTTTTTCTAGTCCCCGATGGGGACTGACCTTTAGGTCTGGCCCCTGAAGGGGTCCATCCCCAAAGGATAGAAAAAAACATTCTAATACTTCCTGCGGGTACACATAAGGCTTTCCCTACTTCACTCATGGAAGAATATGTATTTTTTAATCCAGTTTTCATATCAAGTACTTCTATTGGTACACTAGGGCTTCCTGCCCCTTCTGCTCGTTTACGTCCTTTACTTCCTGCACAATATTGGTTACCTACTGCCGAAGCAGATATTTTAGCTTTTGTTTCTTCAGAATGTTTGGAACCTAACCGAGAACCAGCTATAAGTAATATATTATATGCTGGTTTTAATAAATCAAGATAGTATTGCTCTCTTGATATGGCTTCGGAAGGAGCGCAATGTTCTAAGATTTCCAATTTAAAGTTAGAATAACCATACTTCAATAAACTACTGTAAATCAAACTCTTTCTATTTTTTATCCCTTACTCTAAATAAAAAATATTAAAATAAGATTTAAATCTTCTATGTAAACTAATACTACTACCAACATAGCTTTTCCCATTTATTAAGTTTGTTCAAAGATACACCCCACACTTTCCTTTGTTTTCTTTTAATATTAGGATCTTATCTTGATCAGCATTTAAATAAACACTTACTGGTTGAAAATGCGGTGTAGTCGGTGAAGAATTAGTAGAATAGCTACGAGATCCTTTATTTAAGGATCATTTCATAAAACTACTTTTATAAAAAAGGTGTTTTTCACTAAGTAAAGCTGTTATGTAGGGTTTATCGTTTATTAATAAACCCAAAGTAGAAGATAAATTTAGCCTCGGCTAACTTTTTTTTAATATATTATGATATATTAAAAAAAGTAAGTCCAACCGTAGGTTGGAAGGCTGAGTAAAAAAAAAAGAACTATTGCATAGTTCTTTTTTTTTAAGCGGAGCCGGTGATAAAAATAAAAGTTTGATAAATAAAGTATTGTCAATAAACTATAGTTTAAGTAAAGTAAAAAATGAAAGTGCACCACAGATAATTAAATAATTAGGGTGATAAAAATAAAAAAATATAACGATAATTCAGTTACTAATTTAGATCCGCGATTACCCCCTATTTTTTCAAATGTCTTAAGACTTGTTACCGTACATGAGGGATTAGCTCATCCGCCTATAACCTTTCGATTATGGCTTGGTATCTTAAGTTCTAGGGCTTTCCCGGAATTTGGCAATTTGCCCCGAATACACGATGTAAGTATTTTTGGTGATGATTTTCCGTATCATCCGTCAGGGCTTCAGAAGTGGAATGGTGCAGCGGAAACTTTAAATAAAAATCCTACAGCTATAAATAATAAACTTATGTGTATATAATAAGATTTATATCAATAAAGTAATCCCGTAATGTTTTCTTTACTTACATCAGATATGCTAGTTATGATATACAAGCTGTCTAAGTTTGTTGTACCAGAATTTGCATAAAGTAAAGCTGTTCCTAATAGTATAAAACAGGATGATAGTCCCCCTAGTAAAAAATACATAAGACCACCCGATGTAGCGGGTTCTGAATCTCTGTAGATAGTTGACAATAAATACAGTCCATAGCTTTGTAACTCTATAGATAGAAATATTGAAACTAAATCACTAGTAGAAATTAGGAAAACACTACCTGTAACAATAAATAAGATAATTAATGAGTATTCTATAATTTTAAACTGCTCTCCCATTTTATTTAAAAGTAAGGTTCCGTAATAGATTAGTTTTGTAAATAGAAGTCTACCCGGGCTGCTGTATTCTTTTAATCAAACTTTTCTAGGGTAGAAGGAAGTTAATAATAAGATAACGCTAGTTATTAAAAAGATAAAAAGGTGGAAAAAATTAGTAGTAGCAGTCACATGGAATAATCCACCGAATATACCTACACCTTTTGCCAAAAATAAAAAATATAAATTATCATAAGCAATAAAAGCTGATATAAGTAAAACAGTAATTGTTGCTCTTGAATAAAGTATAGATTTGTCCCGTCTTGAAGTAATGGCAT